TGTAAGGATATAATGTAATTCTTGATGTTATTATGCAGTTAACAGATATAACTTCAATTCGTAATAATTTAAGAGATATAAGAGACTATTTAGTTAAAATCGGTCCACTTCGGAGACAAAGTTCCGACACAGCCCAGAGTAAGATATCGTTAGCTCATGCTGAATATACTAGACTGGAGTGTATTTTGTCTGAAATTAATAAAAAAGCTGAATGTTCAGAGCTAAGTCCAGAAACCTTAAAGACTATAAATTCTATAGTTACCGAAATACGTATATGTTATTCAAAAATTTTAAATCTAATTACTGTTAGTACAGAGTCGTCGTCGATAAAAATGGCGGACGAATCTTTTAACCTGAAAACAGCCATAGCTTTATTACCAGTTATGACGGGTAAAGAGCAAGTGACCTTGCAACTGATCGACGGCATACAATTGTATGCTTCGATGATAACTGATAACACAAAAAATCAATTAATTGAATTTGTTCTTAAAACTCGGTTATCGGAAGGAGCCAAATTACGTCTAAAATCTACGTACGGAAATGTTGAAAGTTTGGTTAGTGACATGCGTAAGCATCTTATTCAGAAAAAATCAGCAGTAGCTATACAATCGCAGCTTTCGACTACGAAACAGGGACATAGGTCAATAGAAAATTATGGTAACGTGCTCGAAACACTTTTCGTTGACTTGACAATTGCTCAAGCCGATGGGGACGATACTAAGTTTGGTGTATTGCGACCGATCAACGAAAAAATCGCAATAAAGCGTTTTTCAGATGGTCTAAGTGACCCCCGTCTAAGTACGATTGTGGCTTCTCGACAATTTGAGTCGTTGCCTGAGGCGATTAGGGCAGCAGTAGATGAACAAACGCTTTCTCCTGATAATAACCCAGTTATGAATGTTAGACGCTTCCAGAATGATCGTGGTAATAGACGTAGCTTTACAAACAAACATCGTGGGACTAGAAATTATTTTCAAAACCGGAATCAGCCTTCTCAATCAACCAAGCTTCACAGGAGGTTTTTATACCCGTGAGTAAATGGCATTTCAAATTTAAACAGTGTAAACGTTTCATTATAAAACGTTCAAAGAGACCCGGAAATATTTTGATTCAAGGGTTTTTACATTATAAATCCGATGATGGAGTTAGCAAAAATGTTTTTAAACCAGGAAAAAAAAGCGCTATGATAAATCCTGATAAAATACGTCCTTCGAACAAATTAACTGCCGCTAAAAAAAGATGCACTAACATTGCTAAGAAGCCATTGGGGTAACGATTGGCACCTAAACGAAAATATGCAATTTTTCAAAGAATTACTACAAGAATATAATGATGACCAAACTGAGGATAGTAACCAACAGGGTGAAGACGGTGACAATAACGAAGAATTGTGTGAGCAATATGAAGAAATTGATGACACGCATGTGTGAATAATAAGAAACAATTAAACCTAAACTTATATAAGAATAATAATTATTAATAATTGATGATTAGAACAATAAAGTATACGATAAAAAAAGTTTAAATTTATTTATTACCATAAAGTAAAAATAAAACCTAGGTATTAAAATTAACTATTAAAATTCATAATCATAGTATTCCACCTTTCTATTTCTAATAAATTCGCTTAATAATATTTCCTAGTAAAAAGGAACATCTGTAGATTTTTGAAAAAAATAAGTAAGTATCAAGATTATTACAGTAAAACATCAGCAAAAACAGTCATTACAAATGCAGCAATATCCATGATTGACTGGTGCAAAACCAGCAACATTCAATTAAGAATGGCGCAAAAGCAGCATTATCCACACATGGTCAGAGTGTAGCAAAGGGTGTGCAAGGGATTTGGGAATTTTTCAAAAAAATTAAAATTCTTAAAAATGCCTAGTTTTCTTTTTCCATCGCTTAGTACACCTAAAAATAAAGCGAAACTCATCTGAGCACTTTTTGTCTAGGACGTCAGGTTTGCCTGAAAATGAGCCTTAAAGTTCACTTGACGAAAACAAAATTTTTCAAAAAAATTAAAATTCTTAAAAATGCCTAGTTTTCTTTTTCCATCGCTTAGTACACCTAAAAATAATCTGAGCACTTTTTGTCTAGGACTTCCCGTTCGTCTGCAAATGAGCTCTGAAAGTCGCTTGGTTTTACACAATATTCCCTCGTTTTGATTTCTATCGTGTAGAGGGATGAAAAACAAACACTTTTCATTCTGATCATTTTTCGTCTATCGTCAGAGGGTTGGCGGGAAATAGTCGTCGAAACCTAAATATTGCTAAAAAAAATCAAAAACAATATTTATTTATTATACAATTATTAAAAACGTATATAACACAAAAAAAGAATTGATATTTCCATTGGAACTTTTTAGCTGAAGTTAATAAAAAAAAAATCATAGAGAAATTCCCGACACGTCTTGTGCGTGTGCCCGCTCGCGCGGGAGTGCCCGCGCGACCCGGTGTCTGCGTGATATCGATGTTTTTGCCAAATTTCGGCAATTCGATGTAAGCGACGCATTTCTGAGCAAAGAAGGATGCTTATTTTTGACCTGACTATGTATAGAAATGAAATAAATCTTAAAATATAGCTTATTAAATTGTATATTAATTACGCTTATTACAATGTTAAAAGAAACGCAGGAAAAAAAGATATTTTTACATTTGTTTATGCTAATTCTACGTCCGGAATTAACTTATTGATATATTTTGAACGCATCCAAACTATCAGTTTTTTTAAAACGTTCCATTTTACATAATGTTGGTTGACCATATTAACTTTGTTCCTTAGTTTTATATTTATTTTACATTTAATTCGATCAGTAACTATTTTTTTATTAGTTATGGTATAAAGTATAGGATTTAGAAGTAACAGAAATAATTGAAATAAATTGATCATTCAATGTTTCATTGAGTGTGCGCAAGTGAAATGGATTTTTTGACATTTGACAGTTCTGTGATTTGCATCAACGCCGGGCGCAATCCTTCGTTGTTGCGCTTGCGTCTCGTTGTGTACTTTGCTATTTTGTGTGTTTCTTCCTTATTACGACCCTATTTACCGCCCCTGGACCCCGATATCTTCCTCATCTGACGACCTTGGCTTACCGTATCTGATACCGTTGTAAATCCTTTTGTTGACAATGCCGCCATCAGCAACAAGTCGACGTATACTTTGCATAAACTGCAATGTCTGCATAAATACGTTTCGACGTTATCTAGTTCATGAGCTGAACACTAGAGTCATTTCGTTACTTAGCGAGTGGATATCACCAGTAATCGTAAGTATTATATGCTTATTATTATTAATCTATAAATCATATAAGATTCACACAAAGCTCTTAAAACAATGTGTAACATAACACATATAACTGTTTGAAATATGTGTGTAGATGTCGCATGAACTGTTGTTTATTGTTATGTGGAACTATTTCTTCAAATTAACAGGTAATGAGCTACCGTAATTACAGACACAATTAAAGAACAATAGGTGTGAGTACGCCAACGTCCTTGTGGTGTTTGACTAACTACATATATTGTAATCAAAAGAAGTGTATATTGAGTTTTCTGTTTCAGATTACTGATGAAGATTACATTTGTGAACCTTGTAATGAACTCCTCATGAGAACTGTAAACCAGCAATTAACAGCAAGCTGTGATAATGCTCAAGCTTCCGGGTCATCCCAACTAGGACGTAGACAAGGGTTCATTATTTGTGGACGGTCTACAGTTAATCGTCAGAGCCATGCTATTGCTATTGATAATCCTTCAGAAGAGCAAAGACGGATTATTGCTGTTATACAAACAAGAATTGCACCACGTCAGGTATATTAAACTGTCAAACACCAAGCGGTCACCGGTGACCGCAACCTATTGTTCTATAATTGTGTCTACAAAACCGGTACTCGACGAGTTAATTATGTTTCTATATTGTTTCATAATTTACTGCATCTTTGGTTACTGGCAGTAACCAAAGATGCAGTAAATTGATCATATTATATTGCCGCTCCTATTGATCATAGCGTGATGTTATATAGTCTATAACCTTCCTCAACAAATAAGCTTACCAACAGTGAAAGATTTTCTCAATTCGGACGAGTAGATCCTGAGATTTGTGCGTTCTTGAACAAACAAACAAACTCTTCAGCTTTATAATATTAATATAGATTATCATATTTCTTCTGGATATCAATAATAAGACCTGATGGTGATTGACCTACTATACTTTAATACTTTTCACCATTAATATAAAATTCATGTAGGTTGGTACTGTAAGGTACTGTTAACATGAAAATAATAGGTACATATTGTTTTTTTTTTACTGTACAGCCGGTGTAAGGTGACGAGAGTGATGTTAGGCTCTAGCAACTTTAGTGGTTTAACTCCTATAACACCTCGAGGACGCCGGCATCCTCAACCTATTGTTCTTTAATTGTGTCTGTAATTACGGTGTTCGAAGGAATAAAACTCTTAAGAAAAGAAACAATTTAAAAAATAAGTGCCCCGTTAGCTGTTGTTATTACTGTAATCAACGATTATTGAGATTTATTTTTGTAAACCATTTATTTTTTTTACGAATACACAAACACGACAGTTGATAGTGGCTAACTTCACTCTCGTCACCTTACGCCGGTCGTACTGTACCTTGAATGTTGAAACCAACGATACCTGATGTTAATTAAATGTTTTCTTTCATAGATATCATCATCTGATAGAATATGCCATGCATGCTGGATGAGTTGCAAGCGTGCTGACATACGTATTGAGCAAGCTGATGATTCCCGTGGAGTTTCTACTACTGAAGAAGTTGAAGTTGAAACAGTTGACTCGGAGCCATCTACTGCTGAACCAGTTCATGAAAGTCTCGAAGTGCCTTCTGTTGCATCAAGAGAAATGACGATGGAAAATTATAGACGGGCAGCAAATACTGCTTCTCACTGCCTTTTCCCTCAGTGTACTAATATTAATCTGCACACTTTGTCAGATTCATTTAGGGCTACAATACTCAGTTCATATAAATATTATATCCCTGTGCACAGCCGTGTTTGTACAGAACATAGACTGAGTAACCAGTGGAGCAATCTCTATGATTCGAGTATTAACATTAGAACATTTACAGTACAACAAGTGGAACATATTTTTTCATTTGTCAATACTTTCAAGCCTTACCTTAATTTCACGAATGTAGAAGCTATCCATGAAATTGAAGACAATATATTTTTCTTTTGGACTGGAAGGACTAAACAAGATTTTTTCACCCTTATTAATGAAGTTCCTCGCATACAAGGAATACACAATGGTCTTTTAGGATTAGCTGCATTATTAATTAAAATGAGGACCGGTGAATCAGATGTTCGCTTGGCTACATTATTAGATGTGCTGCGTAGTACATTAGAGCGGCTAATGAATAAAAGCAGGGAAATCCTGGTTCAAGATTTTGTACCTGTGCACCTGGGTATTAGTCACATATCGAGAGAAGGTCTAATGGAGCATAATCTAACAATACCAAATGGTATATACAATGAAAACTTTACAAATGCTATAATTATTTGTGACGGTACATACATAAATATAAATAAAAGCTCGAATTACTCCTTCCAAAAGGATACATATTCCTTACACAAATATAAAAATCTTTTGAAGCCATTTTTATTTGTGGCATGTGATGGTTACATTTTTGATTGTTTCGGTCCATACAAGGCTACCACATCCGATGCCGACATAATGATTTCCCTCTTTGATTATGAGAAAGCTCCTCTTAGATTATATTTTCAAGAAAATGATGTGTTCATATTGGATAGGGGATTCCGTGATTCCATAAGAATGTTGGAAGGTTGCAATTATCGGCCATATATGCCTGAATCTCTGTTAGAAGGCGAACACCAACTAACAACACAGCAGGCCAACCGGAGCCGCTGTGTAACAATATGTCGTTGGGTAGTTGAGGCAGTAAATGGACATTTTAAAAGGGATTTCAAGCTCCTGAGGCAAGACTATTTTAATAAATCAGTCCCGAACATGATGCAGAATTTTCAAATAGCTGCCAGTTTACTAAATAGATTTGGTGTTCGCTTTCTAGATAGAAATGAAGCAAATGAAATAGTTACAATAATTAGAGAGAGAATTAATTTTGAAAATAATTTAGCTCTATTAGTTGATGAACTAAACATGAATAGAAGATCAACTGCTTTTCAAAGTATTACTGCTGACAGAGATAATTTATTTTTATTTCCTAGATTAAGTTACAATGAATTAATATTATTTGCTCTAGGTACTTATCAAATAAGACAGGCAAGGTCGTACTATGGAGAACATATAAGATTTCACGGATCATATCGAATAGAAGTATGTAGGGATACACAAGACTTTTCTGGGTATAATCTTAGAGGAAGTGGTGATAAAACACTAATAAGAGGAAAAATCAAGTCCAGGCACATTACAAGAAAACAATATTATGTTTATATTTTAGTAGAAAATAATGTGCCTGGCAGAAATGGAATCATTGAATATTGTTGTAATTGTTTGGTTGGTCGACGTACCATCGGGTGTTGCGCTCACGTGATGACAGTGGTGTGGTACCTTGGGTGGGCTAGGTATGAAGACAATATATCTGCTCCAGCAGAATTTCTAGATGAGGTAAGAAAGAAGAAAGAAAGAAAGAAAGAAAAATAATTTATTCGCCACCGACATGGACCACCGAATAACACACAAAATAATAACAAAATAACATTGAAAAACAAAAAACAAAAAAAAATAAAATAAAAAACAATAAGAACAAAACAATAATAACATACAAAAAACAGCAGTAAAAAATAAAACAACAATGAAGGCAAAAAACATAAAAAAGCAAAATAAAAAAAATAAAAAAAAAAAACAGGGTGGCAGCATGTCCGCGACGAAAGGGCTCGCCAACTCAGTTTGAGCTGGGCACAGTAAGTACCCAACACTGGTTTTCAGTTGGCACCCCTCAGGTAGTGGTAAGGGATTTGGATGAAAATGATGAAGAATATTAATAAACTATTCCACTGTAACAGAGTGTTTTATTTACTTTTCCCATTTCATTCAATAAGTATCTTGGTTGTTAAATAAGTGATCATTATTGGCAGCATGAATTGAGTTAAAGTAATTAAATTCAAAGCAAGTATTAGTGTGATAACAATGTACTTATTTAACCACAAATTGTACATAGTGGTGTTAACCAAAGGTAGGTAACTTTTCAAAATGTTAGTTTTAGTAAATAAATAATTGGTCCTGAATCCTGAAGAATGCAGTTTTTAACACAACACTCATTTAATAGTGAAAATCATGAGAGTCTTAGCATTGACTTAAGGGCAGTTAGTTATAAGCAATTAACTGAGTAAAATAGATGTCTTAGACCATAGTTAGCTGAATATTCCTATTTTAGACTAAACTTCGAGCGTAATTAATTAGTTCATGCACATTAGTTTCATTATTTCTGGTGACGGCAAATCCTAACCTAAAAAGGAACAATTTTTTTTTTGAAGCTCGTGGCGTTTAAATTGCCGAAATGAATATTAGACATTACTTTTTAAACTTACAGGAAGTATTTCTACTGTATCTTATAACTATACATATACTTTCATCATCAGGTTTTCAAATGTATGGAAGGTGGGCATTGTTCTTTGCTCTCAAATTTCGATTTGTTTGTGCGTTTGGTGTTTGAAAGTATTCTTTGCGATCGTAGATTTATAGTTTTTCTTATTTTAGTATTCTTTATAGTTTAATTATTCCTTTTTTTAATATTTTTAATAGTTAGTAAGTACGTAGTTAGTTAATTAGTTAGAAGTAGATTTTAGTTTTTGATTTAAGTTTTCTTATTATTTTATTTTAGTTTTACAGTAGATTTAAGTTTCATTTTTATTATCTATATATATAAAAATCAATGCCACTTTTCGTTGTAATTCCATAACTCAAGAACGGGCTCACCTATCCAAACCAAATGCTTAGGATTTGGTCGGCATTTTTAGTAGATGGTTTATGTGAAGTTTGCACAAAATCGGTCGAGCGGTTCCTCATTTGTCACATTTTTTGTAATAAATGAATTCAATAGAAACTTTTTTCACAGAAACTTTTTTGAAGTTTTGTTGACAGGACAAGCACGTTGTTATGTCATTCATGCCGTCAGTTCATTTTGGACGTGGTTTGATTAAAGCATATTATCAGCGATAAATTTCTTTTCACATAATTGCATTTGCAGTGCATTCATACAAACGGTGAGTCCTGAATTTATGTGTACTTTTCTAAGTTGCCGTATATGATTTCACATAGCATCATATGCGACAGCTTCTTGGGAATTTGTTTTTTTTTT